ATTGCCCAAGAATATAATGTTGTCATATTGGGGAGTGAAAAATGAGATAAGATTTTCTAAACACTGGATGGCTTGGGGTATAGAGCAATGTGGTGGCCTATATATAACAACAATTAACATACATTTCAAGAGGATTTATAAAGTCATCGAGCTCAACTGGGATAAGATTAGTGCTAATATCTAATTTAACATAGAGACGGATGCCACCCCCTCTGCTCCCACGGTCCTTATGGAAGAAATTATACCCAAGTATATTGACTACAGTGCTGTCGATACTGGAATGCAGCCATGTTTCAGTGACTGCTACAACATCAAACTTATATTGAACGCACATTTAAGTGACATAGTTTCAAGACACTTTTTATTGTGTTAGCCATAATCCATCCTTTCTTTTAGAGTTTGAACATAATTGAGAAACACAAGACAGTTTGGAAAATTAATAATAATAATAATAATAATAAAGAACGTCTTTTATTTGTAATATTCTTACAGGAGGCGAGATTTAGATTATATATCTATTCTACCATCTAACACCCGAATTATTATTATAATTAGCCGAATGATCAACTGATAGAATCTTCTTGTATACCTTGTTATGGTTTAGGCAATTTACGCATTGTAGGGCACTCGAGTTACACTCCTTGATTTTATGATTTCGCGTACACCTTGGGCAGGACAGATCAGCTTTACAAGATGCTTCAGAATGGCCAAACGAACAGCACTTGAAACACTTTAATATGCGAAAGTGATCAGAGATAGGTGACTTTTTCCAACCAATATATAAAAACCATGTCTTTAATAATTCCGATCTTAGAGTAGGAGTGACTTCAATTACGATGTTGGTTTCACGGGATTTGAGTTTAGTGACAAACTTAAGTAGAGAACCATCAATGTTGTTGAGAGAAGCTATGTTCGAAATCAAATCATCAGGATTGTCAAGACCATCCAAATTAACGTTTCTTATAAGCAGGCGTGGATTCAGCTTCTTAGCTTCAGATATTGAATATTTAGAACCCAATTTATTGCAAAGGTTATCTTTCAGTGTGCTCAGGGAACTGCGATCTTTGCAGTCCACAGCAATACCATTACGAATTTTTCGAGTATTATTGATGCAAACACTAAGGCTGGCTGGATTAACAGAAGACTTTACTTCACTTAGAATTGCGTTCACATCTACGTCGTTATCAGCCTTAATCAGGAGGGTCGAAGAAATTACTTTAGTTCTCTTCACTACATCGCTGTACTTGCTCGGTCCAGGAATGATAGCGGATTGGTCAGTACTAACAAAAGGCGAAGAAATCTTGACTCAATGACAGATTTTTGAAGGGACACTGTGTACTGCAAGTCATCAAGATGGTTCTTAGTTATACTAATTTCACGATTCAATTGATCAATTTCCCTCTGCATAGATTCAATACTGATTCTAGTAAGAGACGCTTTTGATTGCATTACAATTTTGCAATTGCCGCATACCCAGTGGATGTTATCACAATCTGAAAATATTTTAAGCCAAGCATCTTTAAAGGAAACACAATGGCAGTGGAATTTACCGCTACATAAGCTGCATTTGACAAGTTTGGTTTTAACAATGAATTTGTCCTCGCAGAAGTTACAGACATCTACATCAGGTGCCATGACAATTGCATGGACCTAATATGCCTGGACTATCTGTTGGGAAAACAAATGAAGAATGTGTTTTTTGCTCAGCTAAGTACAAAAATACATGTGCAAAACTGAATCTACGTGTTAGGCGATTAAGAGTCTTACCGCATAGGTAATAAGGAAAAAGAATCCTGCAAGGTGCTACAGGTTCGAAAACAGCTGAACTATTCAATAATTAACGCACATACACACTTTACATAACAAAGTAGAGACTCAAAAATTTTTCACGGATGTTCAACCCTAGAAATTTAAACTAACATCCACCCACTAGTTGATGTGATGTATACTCATGAACGATCATAAGTAGAATATCAAAGTTGTGATTTTTCAAATGGAATGCCTCAAATTTTATTGCATATTTGGATAAACCAATTCAAAGGAAGAAAATTGATACAACATACTATGGGGTTCTGGTAATTAGCTACTGAGATATGTGTTTTGTCTAGAAAAACCCCCCACTTCGGCAACCCCTCAGTCCGCCATTTTGAAATTTGGAGTGCTGAATTTTGTATCAAAAAAAACATACACACCTCAGCTTTTATCTTATTTGTTAAAATAAAACATTTGACTTGGTTGGATTTACAGATAACTGATGTGCTATGCTTTCATTTGTCAACTTACTGAGATCTTCATTTAATAATGTAACCGCAGTTGTATCTGTATGAGAGAACGAAGATTTTATCTGGGTATAATCGGTTTTGAATATATCAAACTACTATTAATATTTGCAGAGTATACTGAAAAAGGTAATGGACCCAAGATACAGCCTTGAGGTACCCCACACAGAACAGGCTTGGAAACAGACTCCCCGGAAGAGGTTATGACACACTGTGACCTCTTCGAGAAATAACTTTTGAATAGTTTAATAGCATTAACGGAACATCACATCTATTTTAAAATAGAAAACATTAACTGGTGATTAATTGTATCAAATGCCTTTGTGTAATCAAGCAATACAAGAGCCGTTATCAATATCGCTGATAATTTCGAACGTAACATCAGAAGCGCTGTCGTGCAACTAAAACCCTTTCGAAACCCTGACTGAAATGAAGGCAGCAAATCATATTCATCTATATGAAGCATTAACTAAACTTTTATAATTTTTTCCAGAACTTTAGACAGCAAATATAGAAATTGGACGAAGATCCGACAAGCTAGATATAGTGCCTTTCTTTGGCAGAGGATGAACTTTTGCAACTTTCCAACAGTCTGGAAAAGTATTTTAATTAATAATATGCGTTATGGCTAGTAAAATGTGCGGACAGCATAAAAGTAGCATTTCTATATTAATACCATCCGCCCCAGTTGCAAGGGTTTTTATTTCATAAAGATATTTGTAAACAATGGCTTCAGAAACAGGTTCAAATGAAAATAACCGATCAAAATCCATACGGAAATTGCTATTGTAAAAGTGAAATTTTTCAGGATCAGGATCAACATTGTTTGATGATGGAATCAGATGTTTATTTATCTCATTCGGATCATCAAACTCTGCAGGTATATTTGGCGTTTTAGACTTGCCAGCAATATCTAGGCTTTGCAATTTCTTGCAGATATCCTTCGAATTCCCTCGGCAGCCGTTAAACGAATACTTAAAATATGATTTTCGTTTAACCCTAACAGCATTGGTGGTGAGATTCCTCATTTGTTTATAATAATCCCAATGTTCCAGCAAACCGCTCCTTTTAAATTTTCGAAACACCTTGTCACGAAGAGACATCATCAATTTAACATTGGCGGTTAACCATGGCGGCTTAAAAAGTTTAAATTTGATCTCAGTTAGTGGAGCTAAAGTGTCAAAAATATTAAGAATAATACTATTGAAATATAGTACCTTTTCATTTATATTATTTATGAAAAAGTCAAGAAAAGGAGAAATTTGCAAAAATTCTTCTAGGATACCCTTATCTATATTTTTAAGGTTTCTAACATATTTACTACTGCGGCCACCGCTGCTGCCTCATGATGGAGAATGCCTGTTTCTACCACGTCTGCCACCACTTCTGATCAGTCTTACGCTTTTCATAAGCCAAAAATTGCTCGTCTGATAGCCCAGTACATGTCCTTTGGAAACAACCACCGCACGTCCCAGCACATTTCAAACTATATATATTGCGTCTTAGTTATATTATTTCTACATTTACTACATTCACTTGCCTTTTGTCATATTGATCCAAATCGACCAGGCTATAACACAGGCTTCTAAATAAAATACCAGAAATAACTGTTTTTCATTCACAGGACTTTTTGTAGCCTGGTATAAATAAGGTGGCGTATATTATATTCAAATTGCTGCGATTTCTCGCACATAAATGCACATAACACAAATACTTAGAAAAAACTTCACTCCTCACACCACCAAGGGAGACTAGTAAGAAAAGAAATAAATTAATCGCTGGTGTTAGACCCACGAAATTTGAGAAATACCAGAGCACTTTTTAGAACCTGTTAACTGACCAACTACTAACTAACTGATTCCCCCCCTGATTAAAGTGGTAATGACTAATATTTAGGCACTGCTGCCTTTTTATCATTTCGATGAGAATGTGATCGATCAGAACTTCAGCCGCGTTAGTAAACATTAAGTTAAATGTTTATCTGAATAGTAAAAAGATTTCAGAAGTACCTATGATTTTTATTTAATATTCCAAGTCATAAGTACTTTTGACTTACATTCTTGTTTAAAGCCTCGTTTGACCAATACAATTTAGGCCCGTATCGCCAGTCGTCCCTACAATTATGGCCTCCTTGATTGTCATAGTTTTCTACTTCTTCGTGTCATCTATTTTGAGGTTATGTCACAAACATCTATTTGCATCAAATTGTGCTTGCTTTTGAGTTATATCATGTTTTATCAGCCTGAAGTTTCCTACAATTTAAAAAGAAAACATATCTTCACAATAGGAGAGCGCTGATGCTGACACAGGACAAGTGTAATCTAGAAATTTTTGAAGGAGAGAAAGCAGTATGACAATCAAGGAGGCCATAAACGCGCCCTACAATTGTAGGGACGACTGACGATACGGGCCTAAGTCATAATCACTATCACCTAATATTCTTGAAATTAAAAGGTGTTTGGACCAGCATCCTTAGTCAAAACATTTTTAACTGATTTTTACAGCCAAAAGTGGTTTTCACCAATTATCACCCGTGTCAATAAACTTGGAAATAAAAAAAAATAACAGAAACCTTATCAAATCAGACTAATTATAGATCACATAATGGATGAGCTGATTTTGATTTTGTTTGTTTTGTTGAAGGAAAATGTGCATTGATCTAGAATATTCCTAGCTAATATGATTCAAGTAAATCCTTTTTTCAATATCCTGTATATTCACCTGTTTAATAAAATGTGATATGAACAGAGACAATTCGGTACTGGCCCAGATGACATATGCAGATGAACACGAAGGTAAGTCAGAGAAAGCTCTCAAAAACTCCTCCGACATATGACTCAGATTTGTGAATACCACACTGGATATATGTCTGATGTATACTGTGATGGACCCTTCTCGCTTCACTCTTCTGCACTGAGTCTTCAGCATACTACTGCATAGCTTCAAGAAGAGATCACATGCTTGGGCTGATCTACCAAGCTGGTTTAGTAGCCTTACAGCTCTTCTAGCTGCTCTTAAACCACCTTGTAAGGATTTGTCTGGATTTACTTCTAATTCTTTCATAAGAACTTCAGTTAGATGATTTTGCCTCTGCTCCACTTTTCTTTGAATATCTGTTAGAATATGATCTGGTTGCCCTAATACAGAATGTGACTGGTTGATATAATCTTTGACTTTTTGCAATAATGTGACAGCCTCTTCAAAATATCTTTGAGCTACCCATACATCTAGCTCTTCTGGGCTTTCAGTGAACCATTCTGGATGGGCTAATCCAACTTCTTCAATATCATGGGAGCTATTTGGTGATTCAACTGAAACAGTTCTAGAAGGAGATTTTTCAGCAACAGACTCACGTTTTTGTTGTTCTTGAGTTAGCCTAGACTTCTTTGTTTGATCAAACTTGTCCAACCATTCTTTCTTATTTGAATTTGAGGAGCACTGAAAGACTCTTGTATCAGGAAATATAAGCAGTTTAAATGCTTGCTTTACATTTCCTAAATCACGTACATTCACAACAGCTAAGCTAGTCAGATCATACATAGTTTCAAAGATGTATTTCATCAAGCCTCTGCTGTTAGAGTTTCTGTTTGTTACCATGACTCCATCATTGAATAAATAGATATGAACAGTTTTTAATGCAGTATTCTCAACAGGATCTATTTCTAGTAAATCTCCTTCAAATATCAAATGCCTTCCAGGGACTTCAAGTATTTCTTTACACCCTTCAACTTTTTCTAAAATGGTTGCTAACTTTTGTTTATTTTCTTCTTTTTGGTTGACATCAGGATTTTTATTCTCATTTTCTATGCTATGGTAAGTAGAGTGCTCCAAGATCGAAGTTGACGACAATGTGCTAAGCAAAGCCTTTTGTTCTGAAAGTAAATGAGATAATTGGTACATTTCACTCTCCAAATGTGAGATTTCCTTAGCAGTATCAATAAACTGTACATAGTTTTGGTATACATTCTTCTTCAGGTTGTTGTTTGTTTCTTCTGATATTGCTAGAATCTTCTTGCGAAAATTCTGTAATTCAAAGCCACCTATATAGTTCTGAGACAGGTTTTTCACATACTTGTCTGCCTTAAAATCTTTAGCACTAAACAGTTGGAAGTTCACTTGTTTTGATGACTCCATTTTTTAGATTCAAGTGAAATCACTAAATATACACACAAGAACTAAATCCAATACATTATTCATGGATTATGTCCAAATACTCAAAACTCATGCTGGTTTTCAACTTGTAAAAGTTTTTAAATAAGTTTCTAGTTTGGTTTTTGGGCTTGATGAATGAATCCACACTGGAACTGTAACGCACCTTTAACCACCGTTTAACAAAAGCACAAAAAAAGTATCAGTTGACTTTACCACAAAGACTTGACTGTCAAGTCCAAGTCCAAAGTATGCGGGTCCCACACGATGCTTCCAACATTGTTTACAATGTTCGACACCTCACAATTGGCAAATGTGTCTCCTACACGATGGGATGAACTTTTTAAGGCTGCTGCACAATTGCCCGGGAACGGGAACGAGAACGGAAACGGAAACGAGTGAAAAGTTCAATTACATATAATCCAATACATACATGCACAACAAACGGAAACGGCAACGGTAACGGGAACGAAAACGGAAGAGTTGGCCAAGATTCAACTTTCCCGTTCCGTCGCCTTCTCGGAGCCAATCAGAATGCTCAGAACCAGGACATGCGTATTACAGTATTAACCTAAAAATTGAGTTTTGTTTATTTTGGTCTTTGGAGTAGTAACGCTAACGCTACGATTTCATTATGAATGACGAATTATTGATTCAATTAGTGGAAAAGTGCCCACACATTTACAATAAAACGTTGAAGGAATACAAAGATGATAAAATGAAAGATAATAGTTGGCTATCAATAGCAGAGTTTCTCGATTCGGAACGTAAGTATGAACATGTGGTGCTTAGCGTCCTTAGCGATACGATTATACATTTTTTGTTTATAATGTGAACAAATGCGAAAAATCTTTTAGCTTTCCACTCATAATGGTATTACAAGATTCCATTTAAATAGCGTAAATTGAAGCTCTTGGTCATTTTGTATTAACTCATTATACGCTGGTTTATGTTAGTGCACAGAATTTATAATTCAACAATACATGATAAAACTTCATAACAGATTTAACTCTTTTGCAGCAGCCATAGTGAAAAAGAGGTGGGACAACCTGAGAGACAGGTTTGTTCGAGCCTATAGACAATACAATACTGTGCTTCCTTCAGGTTCAGGTGGAGGAACACAACAACAACCGGACTTCCCATACTTTGAAATAATGATGTGGTTAATACCATTCATCAGGAAGAGAAAGTAAGTCATACAGTGTAATTGAATCATTTTGAGGTCTACATAGTGCCACCCATTGTAGGCTGGCGCTGAGAGTTCAGTGTGTACTTTTTGTCACCCAATTCTTAAACCTTCATTTATAAGTACTTCAATAAAAATTACACCTGAAGTTTATAATGGTCAGGTGGAATGAACTATTTGTTTTTGATTTTTATGAATATACCAGTCCTCTTTGTATGTTAAGACAACTCTATTATATTTCAGGCTGATATCCTCGACTGCCCCAGAAAGTGCTTCAAAAGTGCCATACATTGAGGAGGTTGAGTCTGAACCATTACTAGATGATTATGTTGTGGGATCAGATGGTGTATTGTCACCTGAGCCTACCCAGTCTAGACCTACCAGCTCACATTCATCCAGACCTGATAGTGCATGTGGACACAAAAAGAGCATCCAGGAGTCAATGGCCACAGCTTTACAAAATTTTTCAAAAATATGTGAGAAAAGATTTGGTGAAAATACTGAAAACAGTGACACATTTTATGAAGTCCATTCTCGATGACATGCAACATCTGCCACTGAAGAAAAAAATTAAATTTAAAAAAGAAGTCATGGAGTTACTAGTTAAATATATTGAGAATGAAGATATCTGAAATATATTATGTCATTCTTTTAATGTGTAGGAATAAAATATACAAAAATGTATACTTGCTACTTTTATTTATAAAAATTGATACTAAAAAATACTACTATGCTTTTAATTTCCATACAATAGACAGTATGCTAGCATATTTCAAAATCTTCCTCTGTTAACATATGCCATTTGCCATGACACTGCTCCAGCATCTGATATCAAATATTCTGCTAGCTTGTCTCTCAAAGCCATAGTTGCACTGGCTGATATATTTGCTCCCACTCTGCCAATTGGTGTCAAGTTGGTGTCATTTTGGATGATTTCTCTCCATTCACCATCCCTATTTGTTCCACCATCATCCTTCAAGGAGTCTATTAATGTAGGTGGTACATATGTTGTTGGTGCCTCAGTTTTCAAATAATTATGTAGGCATATTGTAGCTTTTACCACAGCCTCTGTTGTTTTTATGGAGCGTAGCAGAGGAGAGCGATAAACTCTCCATCTACTTGCAAGTATCCCAAAACTATTTTCTATGACACGTCTTGCTTGTGATAATCTGCAACAAAATTTGTCAGAAATATTCATTTTGTGCTGTTTCCACATACCTACCTGTAGTTGAAAACTGATTTCTGTTCGGTTAGTTGCCTCCCTGGATATGGCCTCATTAGATATGGTTTCAAAGGGAAAGCTTCGTCGCCAACAAAAAAATAGGGCATTTCAACATTGCTACTTGGCAATTGATCTACCTTTGGCAACTGAACTGATCCTTCATCTAACTGTTTTCCCATCTGAGATCTCCGAAATACACTAGCATCATGTTCAGAGCCATACGCACCAATATCTGCCCAAATAAATTTATAATCAGCATCACAGCATGCTAGTAAGATAATGCTAAAGTGGTTTTTATAATTATAATACAATGACCCACTATTCAATGGGCATTGAATGTGAACATGTTTTCCATCAATGGCCCCAAGTGTATGTGGAAAATTCCATCTATTTGAAAACTGGTGGCTGATAATAATCCACTCTTGTTCAGTAGGGGATTTCAAGTAAATAGGTTGCATTGTATCCCAAATTGCGGTGCATGTTTCAAAGATCACTTTTGAAACAGTTGAATGTCCAACGCGGAATTCCCATGACAAACTTTGAAATGATCCTCCATGAGCCAGAAACTTCAAAGTCATAGCCAACTTTAATGCAGGGCTTAAATATTCTCTCCTACTATGTTTTAGTAGTTTTGGCTTGAGGAGACACAGGATACTGTCAAACTGATCTGTTAGCATTCTTGTATACACTTAAAAAACATTTCAGGATCCTTTGTTTTCATATGGGTAAAAATATTTCGAAAAGCCCCTTTCTCATTCCTTTCTCTGAATATTGGTCTGACCCACCATCTATAAAATATACAAATTCCAATTAGTATGTGATTCATTGTTTTTTCAAATTTGGCCTACCTTCTATTTTCTTGTGTCATTAGATACAAAAAGACACATTCCAAAAAAAGAAAGGACAGAAAGAGAAACTGTTCGTCAAAATCCATTTTTTTTTTTTTTGGATAAATAGTCTAAAAATAAAAAAATCAACTATTTTTTACCACAACTGTTTACGAGCAGCGAGGAACTGTCAAAATTGCATAAAGTAAGGTTAGGTACAAAAATTCTGTCATAGTTGTCAACTGCTTCCGATGTGCTCCCGTTAATTGTGCATCTGCCGAAGTCTCTCGTTCCCGTTCTCGTTTCCGTTTGCGTTCTCGTTCCCGTTACCGGGCAATTGTGCAGCGGCCTTTAGTTTCGGACGTTCGACGCATGGTGGTGCCAACGTCTATTATCGGTGTCAGTGTCGCGCTTGAACCTTTACAACTGAAGGACAAATTATACAAAATAAACGAGGAAACAATTTTTTCGAGCGCCGAAAAATAATTTCAGGTCTGTCCTCAGCGACCAAAACTTAAGTCTGTCAGAAGCCTCAAAAATGTCGAAAAACGAAGTTTGAGCGTTTTTTGTTTGTTTTTCGACGATAGCTCCACCGCCACTGTACCGATTTTCAAAAACTGCAGAGCTTTCTCGTCATTGTCATAGTAGTAACCTAGAGTTATCATTTATTTAATCTTTTTCGTTAGTTATGAAATGGAAGTCAATATGTTTCTCAAGTAGTCTTGCATTGCAACACGACATTCTAATGAAACAACTGTAAGCACTTGATAATTTATAATTCGCTAAAATACATATCCTTAGGCCTGCCATAACTCACTTGAGAAACGTACAAAATATTAGCAATATGAAAAAAGTGTTGTTATGGCAGCCTATGCCTTGTATGAACATACATTATTATTAATAGGTAGGTATTCAGATCAAAATACTTCCCACATACCACTATTTCATCACAATCACAACAAACAAAAATAAATAATGTTTGCCGCCGCTACTGGTTCTAACCTAAAGCCATCAAACACATGACATCTCGTGTGGGAGCGTAACAAACCATGCTTCTAACGTTATGGTTCTTTGACGCGGGTCAAATTTACCAACAAGAGCCGGAACGTGCCATGTGACGTTGGACACATGCAATCCGTCAGCGCTCTCCCACACGATGTGACGAACGGACATGTATCCAACATTGTAAGACACTCGCCATATCGTGTGGGAGCGATTTTAGCTATTTTTCTATAATCAAATCCAAGCGGATAACCAAAATTTCCGTATTATGTACCGCGGTTTGTTGCAAGTTATTTTAGAAAAGCGCATATATAATTTCTGATTATTTTTATTATCACTTAATAATCGGTGCTTTTTCGTCTACAACGGGGTATGGAAAATTGAAAAAAGAAAACTTTCATAATATCAATGGGAGGAATGTTTTTTTTTTTCGAAAAAAATTTAACTGATGGAACCATGGCTTTGTAGCTACGATAACTTTCAATTCTCTAAACTTTTCCGCATGTCAAAGAAAATATTTATTGATTCAGCAGAAATGATGAAAAAGAGATATTAACAAAACCGTATACAGGTGGACATCATCCAGTGAGTTTATACGGCCATATTTTAATATTCTTGTGGTATATGGCTATACAGGATACTTTTTTAAGTGTAGGAACTAGATTTAAAGTGTCCCCAACAACAGTGATGATTATAAATAATAAGGTGCTCTCTTATGCTAAAACTGAAGTCAGCCTGTATCAAGTTTCCCAAAAATGAAGCTGAAGTACAATAAAAATATCCAATACCCGGCAAAATTCTAACTTGTCACACGTCAAATAATAACCAGAAGCCAGAAGTATAAAACTACTCGGGAGTTGGGTAAATACCACAATTTTGCGGTAATAACTATGACATATAACAGCTGATTCATGACGTCACGGATCTTATAACCAAACTGATAACCACACTCGCTTGAACGGATCGGTAAATACTAATCCAAAATGGTAAATACCATTTCCATTTGGTTATCCGCTTGAATTTGATTTATATCAACCTATATAATCAAATCCAAGCGAATAATCAAAGTTTCTGTGTTATGTACTGCGGTTATAATATAGTTTAAGATGACACCCGGGTTGATGACGTCAGTTACTCGAATCGCTTAAACGCGTTGGTTTTAACCCCGGTTTTGTTGGAGGTTGTTTATTTTAGAAAAGCGCTTATATAATATCTGATTATTTTTATTATTACTTAATAATCAGTGCTTTTTCGTCTGCAACAGTGTATGGAAAGTTTAAAATTTCATAATATTAATGGGAGAAATGTTTTTTTACAGAAAATAATTTTTAATGAAGGATCCATTTCTCTGTAGCTATGATAACTTTCAATTCTCTAAACTTTTCCGCAGGTCAAAGAAAACATTTATTGGTTCAGCAGAAACGATAAGAAAAAGCGATGAAAAAATATATTAGCAAAACCGTATACAGGTGGACATTATCCAGTGAGATTATATGGCCATATTTTAATATTCTTGTGGTATATGGCTAAGCAGGATACTTTGATAGGCAGAGGAACTAGATTTAAAGTGTCCCCAACAACAGTAATGAGTATAACTAATAAGGTGCTCTAGTTTATGCTACAACTGAAGTCAGCCTATATCAAGTTTCCCAAAAATGACGCTGAAGTACAACAAAAATATCCAGTACCTGGCAAAATTCTAACTTGCCACATTTCAAATAATAACCAGGAATATAAAACTACTCCTGAGTTGGGTAAATACCATAATTTTGCGGTGATAAGTATGACATAATATAACAACTGATTCATGATGTCACGGATCATATAACCAAACTAATAACCACACTCGCTTGAACGATTCGGTAAACACCAATCCAAAATGGTAAATACCATTTTCATTTGGTTATTCCCTTGAATTTGTTTTATGTTTTGTGATTCAACTCATCACGGCAACCACTTCAGATGTCAAAATAACTTAAGTGTCAAAGTGACATATAGTTAATACCATTGCCATATTGCAGGTTTTTCCGCGCATGGATTTAGATGTGCTAAATCTGTGATACAATTTTTGCCGTCGCAAAAGATCTATATGTCTGTTAAAAATATTTTCTACATGTATTTGTTGAATTTATTGATTTATTTTGAACCTGACAGACTAGAATACTTGTCAGAACTACAGGTTTTTGTGTGTGATGTTTGTAGTGTGCTCAGTGCCAGTCAACTTGTCGTAACTGACATTTTTGAAACATAAAAGGTTATGTCATTTACGTAAACAAACGGTTTTGGATTTGAAATGATTTTTTGAAGATTGATATTGATCCTGAATTTCTTGAAATGGAACCAATGAGACCCGACGATGTACTTGCCTATTTAAATATGCTAGGATACACCAATATTAGCGCAGAACAACTGAAGGAGTTCATGAGAGATCTAAAAAGGTTGATCAAACATGATTTGAGGCATAACATAGGCAATGAAGACTTTTTCCATTCTACAAGAAACGACGCGGGAAACAATTTTGCATCCCAAAGAAATTTAGAAAATATTTATAATGGCCTGTTTGCACAGTCTACTACAGTATCCTCTGAAGCAAAACATGTAAACATTGCTAAAGAAAAACACATATGTGTACATATAACAAAGAAACATACGAAACTTGATACTGATAATAGTGGAAATATTGAGAAAGTCAGATCAAAAATACCAGGGAGATCAGAAACTCCAGAGCAAATCAAACCAGAAGAAATTCCAAACCTGCACATTGAAACTGAATTGAGTGTGAAATCAGGACCAACTTCAAAGACTAGTGACTCAAAATCTATGACCAGTAAAGCAATATCAGAATGTAGGAAATGTAGCTCAAAACAGAAAAAAGTTAATAGACGGGATCCTGTTGCTTTGTATCAGTATTATCAGTCAGAGTGGAATAAAAACAGAATAAAAATCCCAGGGCAACATAACCATTCTGAACTGCGATGGGCAATAAGAGAAAGGCTCAGGGAAGGACCACCTGTTGAAGTACCATTGACTAATAAAACTAGTTGCAGAAGAGTCTGTACATATCCCAAAACCTATTTGTTATAGTCATTGTTGAATAAAATAACAAGTACAGTAGGTATCCAAAAGGAGATAAAACAGTTTATATGTGAAAAATGATATTCTGATGTATATGCAAAAAGCATAAAGTGACAGAGAAAATTTTACATGTTAAGGACTCCTTTCTTGAAGTCATGCTTAAAGGAATAAGAGTTATTGAAATGTTAAGTTCTTCTTTGTTAGTTCTTTGAGCACTGTTTTTCTAATGCAGTTGTTGTAAATGGGCTTAATAATCTCCAGCATTCTAAAAAAGTATAATTGTCTATTCAATATAAATGATCTATTTGGTGAATCTGCCATTGAACAAATCTGTGCATTGCAAATCCAAAATGGTTAGACTCGATTTCACTGTAACTTTAAGTACAATTGAAGTTTCTTGATGATAATTTATTTTAGCAGATATTTATTTCTTGAGTTAACAGTAATGTCTCTGAGGTATATAAATAGATTTTAAATATGTTTTCATGTCTTTAGTAGAAGTAATAGTATTTTTTTGTAAAAATGTTAATACACTGTTTTTCTAATGCAATTGTTGTAAATGGGCTTAATAATCTCCAGCAGTCTAAAAAAGTATAATTGTCTATTCAATATAAATGATCTGTTTGCTGAATCTGCCATTGAACAAATCTGTGCATTGCAAATCCAACATGATTAGACTCGATTTCACTGTAATTTTAAGTACAATTGAAGTTTCTTGATGATCATTTATTTTATCAGATATTTGTTTCTTGAGTTATATAAATAGATTTTAAATATGTTTTCATGTCTTTAGTAGAAGTAATAGTATTTTTTTTTGTAAAAATGTTAATACACTGTTTTTCTAATGCAATTGTTGTAAATGGGCTTAATAATCTCCAGCATTCTAAAAAAGTATAATTGTCTATCAATATAAATGATCTATTTGCTGAATCTGCCATTGAACAAATCTGTGCATTGCAAATCCAAAATGATTAGACTCGATTTCACTGTAATTTTAAGTACAATAATTGAAGTTTCTTGATGGATAATTTATTTTATCAGATATTTGTTTCTTGAGTTAACAGTAATGTCTCTCATGTTTTCATGTCTTTAGTAGAAGTAATAGTATTTTTTTTGTAAAAATGTTACTTTTGTCAGTTTATAATTAAAAAATACACCTGATTAGGAATAGACATTTTATTCACTAAAGAAGTAAGAAAATAAAAAACAGTCTATTTAATAAAATTTATGTTTTTCTTTTTAGTCTTTTTCTCCCTTGCAGCCATATATTTCTCTCTACTTGCAGTAGATTTTAGTTCCAATATAAGCCTAATTTTCTGCACAATGTCCTGGGCAGTTTTGTTATCACTCTCAAAGTCATAGTGCTTAAAGCTAGCTGAACTGTGGAGAGTTGGGGGATAACTTGAAGCTGAAAAAAAGTTTGATAATGTAAATGTGTTGGATGAATTTTAAAAAGATAAGTAGATCAGCGCAGGACTTTCCATTTAATCATATAAAAGACCATGCACCAGTGTTATGAGAAAAGTGATTCAGGTGGATTTGCTTCAAACTTAGCAGGTGTGTTCTCCAAATAGTGATAATCAAAGGTTCTCACTAACTTGGTTTCAAACAAACCAAAGGGCCTATAAGACTTAGAAGGTGGTAGACAAGGACCAGTCCACCGAGGCGGTACCATCCGCTAGCTTATCCCAGGGTGTCATAAATGTCCGCATGTTTCCACACCTAAGCTACGCAGTCGGTTATCTTCCCCAAGAAAAAAATAATGATGATGGATACCTCGAGTACTAAGAATTCCGGACGTAAACTCACTCCACTCTCCGAATGTCCGGGTGGAGGGTGGACTCGACGGAACAGCATCGAGGATAAAATCTGTTTCATAAACATCTGCGGGATTAACAGCAACATTGATGCTGTTCATCACTACTTGCAATCCAATCGTCTCGCCATGATTTTCTTGACGGAGACAAAAAATCTCCGAGTCTTCACTGATTAACCATCTTAGCTTCCCAAATTACGAGGTGCAATCCAATCTGAGAAAGAACTGCGAGTTGTGGGTTTTGTCCGCAGCAGTCTTTCCTGCTCCAGAGATGTCTTTTTGGAATGAAACCGAAAGGATATTCTGTGGCTTCGCCTAAACTCTAAAACATCCCCCAAATTTATTTGCTGTCTTTATCGCTCTCCCTCGGACCATGAATGGGATAACCTACGTGAATATCTCGCCGTCAAGATCGACTTCCTGAACATCAATCACCCCGCTTCAGAGGTAGTTCTCGGTGATTTCAATGCCCATAATGAGCTTTGGTTGGGCTCGAACAAGATCGATGCAGCAGGTCGTGCAGTTGAAGCGTTCGCTCTTACTCGAGAGCTGACCCTGCTAGTGACGAGCGCTATTTTCTTACCCCGCGTCTCGTCACATGCCAGTAGCCTGCTGGATTTCTTTCTGACCACGCATCCTGCCCCTTACAGCACTGCGGTCCTGTCCTCACTGGGTAACTCAGACCCTTGTGTTGTGGAGGTTAGGTTTCAGAATCCTCTGTGGCGACAGAAACTCGCACAGGCCACAAAATTTGGCAACGGACGTGACGACTGGGAGAGGCTCAGAGATGTTTGATTCGCTGACACTGATGCGTCGGCTGTCTATTCTTCGATGACTGAAATTATCCACGTCGGAATGGAGGAATACATCCCTCATACAGTGAACGTTCCTAAACAAATCGTGTGACACTGCTCGCCAGCATAAGGTCAGGGCAACAGAACCTTCTTACAAAACACCACTGGAGAGAACAGACAAGCCAACGTCGAGTCCAGAAACAAATATAACGAAGCGGTTCGCAATGCCAAAAACCAGCATGATATAAAAGGGTAATGTCGCAGCGCAATGGCAGTCGGTCTTTCTGGACGCTGGCCAAGCAGATTGAAAAGAACTTCTCACACAGTAGCCTTCCACCACTTACGTGTTAGGATGGAACGATTGTAACCGACTCAAAGTGAAAGGCGGAAGTGCTTGCTAATATCTTTGCTGCCAACTCCACCATGGATGTCCCCCCGAACTCGCAAGTGCCGTCAGTGCCGATCCCTACACTATGCGAGAAGTAACATTCAGGCATAAGACCGTAAGACGGGTGGTCTTGTCGCTCAACATCAACAAAGCTCCTGGCCCAGACTTGAGGTGTGAAGCGGAGCTCGTTCCACTTCTTTCGCGGACAGTACTCTACATGTAGTCTAATCATATTAGACGAAAATACCCCTGGTTTGCGAAATAATTGTAAAGTCCGGTTTTATTGCTGCAAGTTGTTCAAGGGGGTATTCAAAAACATGGACGCATAAAATAGGTACACCAATTTTTGTGGGAAAACCTTTTATTCGACAACAAAGAATGACAATACTTGTTTTTTGGGATTCAATCTAAAGTGTTGACAGAGAACGAAACAACTCTTTATATAAGATTTCTAGGTTTTATGAGACATATAAAATGAGACCAGACGTAAAAAGATCCGACTAATAGCAGAAAAGTTATGGCCGAAAACCGAAGCAAACTGAAGGTTTTGGCACTTGTTGGTAATGCGACGATGGTTCCTCGTAGGTATTTGAAATTCTCCAAATTTGTAGGATTCGTACTTCTAAATAACCACAACAAAATTGGAGCAGATTGGTCGAGTGGCTTTTTGAGAATTTATCCCAAAACACCTGTTTTCCGGCCATCACTACTAGTTTATTGAGCAATATACAGGGTTAGTTCAAAGGACATTTTATAGCAAAATACACTAGTTTACCTTGCCGATATGAATCGCAAACCATTCCAGAAGATAAATATTATTTTTATGCCAAAAAGGATGGGTTACGTTTTTTCTTCTAAACAAATTCAAACATTTCGTATTTGTGAGTAATTCACATCAAAAGATTATAGACACATCCGCTTTATTTTAAAATGTTTGAATTTGTTTAGAAGAAAAAAACGTAAACTTTGTTTTTCGCATAAAAATAATATTTATCTTTCGGAATAGTTTGCGATTCATATCGGCAAGGTAAACATGTGTGTTTTGCTATAAAATGCCCTTGAACTAACCCTGTATATCGCTCAATAAACCAGTAGTGATGACCGCAAAACAAGTGTTTTAGAATTTAGAGATTCTCAAAAAACTACTTGACCAATATACTCTAATTTTGTTGCTCTTATTTAGAAGTATGAATCCTACGGATTTGAAGAAATTCAAGTAGTTGTGTGAAATTATCGTCGCATTACCAACAAGTGCTAAAACCTGCAAACCTGCATTATGTCTCGTTTTTCGGCCATAACATTTTTGCTATCAGTCAGATCTTTTCATGTGTGATTTCATTTTGTAGGTCTCATAAATACCTAAAAATCTTATCTGAAAAGTTTTTTCGTTCCTGTCAACACTTTCCATTGAATCCCAAAAACACGTTTTCTCATTAATTGTTTTCAAATAAAAAATTTTCCCACAAAAATTGGTGTACCCATTTTATGTGTCCATGTCTTAAATACCCCCTTGAACAACTTGCACCAATAAAACCAGACTTTACAATTATTTCGAGAAAATTTGCTAATATGATTAGACTAATGCAGGAATTCTGAGTGACAGCCCGATCTCTGCCGCTGAGCTGGAAAACAGAAGACTGGCGACGACTTCCTCTCTGACGAGAGTCCTGGAGGTTATCACTGCTTGGGGACGTAACAATCTTGTACAGTTTAATGCTTCCAAAACACAGTACTGTACCTTTACGAACAAAGAGCGTCCTAGCGCTCATCCGGTTTCGATGGATGGCCGAGTTCTGCCAAAAAGCCGTTCATTTCGGCTGGTCGGAGTTCAGATAACCGACGACTTGATCTGACACGAACACATCTCGTCAATAGCGTCAGCTGATTTGAAAAAGCTAGGCTATTTGTTTAGGGCTAAGAAGTACTTTTCTCCGCATGACCTCACGCTATACAAGGCCCAGAGGTCTAGCCTCGAGTATTGCTCACACGTTTGGGGTGCTGCTGCCCCAACTACATTAGTTATGCTCAATGTTGTCCAGAGGAGGGCTGTCCGACTGATCGATAACTCTTCTCTAACAGACAGTCTCGGGACCCTTTCGCATAGGCGGGCCCTCGGCGATCTAGCTCTCTTCTACCGCTACACCGATGGGCTTTGCTGCTCAGAGCTCTCTTCATGATGCCGCCGCGCGATGTGCCTGCTAAACAGACCCGCCTGACTTTGGCCTCCCATCTTAACCCTGTCGAACTTCGTACGTCCAGAACTCGCCGATACGACCGCTCCTTTGTCCTCAGGGTATCGAGATTGTGGAAAAATCTACAAGAGAAAGCTTGTTCTTCTTCTTCTTCCTACTTTATTAATAGGCTCATACCTGTTTTACTTCGGTCTTTAGCCTCAATTGTCTGACCATCTTTTCCTCGGTCGTCCCATTGATCTTCTTCCATTTGGCGATTTGTCTCTTGCTATTCGTACTGTTCTATTTTCTCTCATTCTTTCTAAGTGTTGATTCCATTCTATTTTTCTTCTTTTGGTCCACAGGTTCATTCCCTCTATACCACATCTCGCTCGTATTTCCTCACATCTTACTCTGTCTCTTAGAGTTTGGTTTGTTATTTTTCGTAAGACTTTCATTTCTGCTGTTTCCAATAATCTTTGTGTTTTCGCTATGTACGTCATTATCGGTCTTATTGTTGAATTATATATCCTAGTTTTCGTTTCCGTTGTGAGGTATTTGTTGCTCTGTTCGCCATGTTCACTTGTTTTTGTACTTCTTCTTCCACTTCCACTTGACAATTTGATTCCCAAGTATTCCGTTTCCATCACTTGTTCTATTATTTACGACCAGTTTACATTGTCTCGGTTCTGCTGATATGACTATCGATTTAGTTTTCTTTGTTGTATATGTTATATATGCGCGCCGTATCTTCGAATTCTTTAATTAATCTTTGTAGGTCATCTTCATTTTCGGCTATTATTATGGCGTCGTCGGCGTAGCATATTATCTGCATTTCCTTTTCTCCCATTCTATATCTTTTTCTTTATGATTTCATCCATTATCAGATTGAATATTAGTGGGCTCAGCGAATCCCCTTGTCTAATGCCAGTTTCATACTTGATAGGTTGCGAGAGTTTTCCTTTACATCTTACCATAGCTATGTTATCTTTATATATATTCTCAATAGTTTTTACTAAAATCCAGTGGTATTCCCCTGTCATATAATAAATGTATCGCGTCCCGAATTCTCACTCTATCAAACGCTTTCTTCAAATCTATCAGGCACATATATGCTAGTTTGTTGCACTCCAGCGACTTTTCTTTTATTTGTCTTATTACAAAAACTGCATCCGTGATCCATGATCTTCCTGTTCGGAAGGAAGCTTTTTCCTTTTCTATTAACCTTAGGCAGTTCAA